ACCAGAGCTTCTGCTCAAGCCCCGCAATGGGCCGGGACTTCCTGAATGGGCCTAGTTTTCCCTAACATAGCGTAGCGCTCGTGTGCTCCTATTTGCACAGACACACTCTTTCCGCTTGTTTTTTACTGCACTGCGCTGAGTGTGCTTTACTGCTGCGCTAATGTGCAATGGACATTCGGAATGTAATGGGTCATCAGCTAGTGAAACAATGGAGCAGCAAGTGTCATACTTTCTACGTTTAAATGCAGCTCTGGAAAAAAATAAGAGACCCCTGCAAATGGAGCAGTTTCTCTCTTTATATGTATGTGTTTGAGTAAAATGCACATTTTTGTTTTATTCTATAAACTACTGACAACATTTCTTCCAAATTTCATTTAGAGCCTTTAATCTAATCACAGCTTTCATGCTTCTTGGCATGCTCTCTACCAGTCTTTCACATTGATGTTGGGTGACTTCACACCACTCCTGTGGCCAGTTGCAAAAACTTAACCACTATGTTAAGACTGTGTCTGACCAACAAGAGGTAATCAGTCTTACTTTTACAATTCATATTAGACCGATCTACCTTTGTGTAACTTGCTTAAAAATGTTAGGACCAGTTTTGAAGAAAAAAAAGATGACTTAGGCTCAATCCCAATTCACCCCTTGTTTTCGAGTGTACCCCTTGGCCCTTAAAACAGAGTTACAAGGGCCAAGGGGTTGAAATATTCCCCTACGAAATGGAACAACCCTTCATGAACCCGATACGTCATCAGTCGTCGGCGATGGCTCTGCCGTTACGGAGTTTTTACAGGATTTCTCCATGACGACTGACCATCAGCGAAGCTGCTCTTAACTTTGAGGAAACATGATGCTTATAATGTTCCTTCCTCGAAATGTATGTCTTTTCTTTTTCGGAAAGGTAATTTATTATACAATTTCTTAATTTAAATGACTATATCATTATTATAAGAGTAAATAAAGTGCACGGTGGTGTCATCTGGCGCTAAATTTAAATGTTTAACCGTTTGTGAAGCCATCTCACCGGTGATTCGCGATGTATTCTGCGAACTTTCTCGTAGCCCTCCGTTTGGAGTGTGCCTCTGAAAAATCTCCGTTTCGAGGGCTATGTAGCCCTACCCCTTCGCCCTACCCCTCGATCTAAACAAGAATCGGGACACCCTACCCCTTGACGTGAACGCGCAAAACGGAGGGGTAGGGCCAAGGGGTAGGGGCAAAGGGTGAATTGGGATTGAGCCTAACTTTTAAGACTAGTCTAAGCAGTTTATGCAACTGGCCACTGGCGCAAAAATTCAAGCAGCTCGGCTTTCTTTAACGGCTTGTGACCTTCCATCTTCGTCAAGGTTTTCAGTGGGGTTTAGTCTAGAGTTTGGGCTGGCCATGACAGGGTCTTGATCTGGTTGTCCTCCATCCACACCTTGATTGCCCTCTTTGTGTGACATGGAGCATTGTCCTGTGGGAAAAACACTCCTTAGAGTTAGGGAACGTTGTCAGAGCAGAAGGATGCAAGCTTTCTTCGCTTCAATATATTTTTATATTGTTACAGTAATATTGATCACAAAAACCCATTATAATAAGTGTTATAATAAATATTACTCTCAAATGTTATGATTTGTCATGTCATTCTAAACTTCTAAATAGTGTGCAACTTATACTATATAGTGTGCAAAAAACAGTACGCTAAAAGAGTAGTATGTAGGCGAAAAGTCCCCGGATGACCTGGGCTGGGTTCCAGTCCAAAATTGTCATGCCCTTCACTCGCTAACTTGCCTCCGTCTCGTTCACTCGGATGTACGTCATTGCTTACGTTGCACGAGTGCCCACTACTGGCGGAAACTGCAATGGACTGAATTGGAACGTCCTAACCCCTTGATCACTTGGAATCAGCTATGGAGTTGATTTATTATTATTTATTTTTTTCCTTAAAGAATTTTTTTAATGCAGCATCAAAATGTATATACGGTAGGTGTGTTTGGGTTGTTTTAAATTTAAAAAATTATAATTAATATTTCATAGAGTTGTTTGTGGTGGTGGTGATTAGACGAGATCTGAGGTGACGTCACAATCGTGTTGCATTGTGGTATATGGAGCTGCCTGAAGTGTACATATGAAGTAGACTTGCTCCCTCTGTCAAAATCGAGGGAACTAGGGTCTGTCCATATAAACTTCCCTCGTTCACTTCACGAAGTGGAACGCACTTCAAAATGGCAGCAGGGATTCCCCCGAGGGGAAGTGCTTAGGGAAATTCGCAAGTGCGTGTCTAAAAGTGGACTGGAACGCAGCCCAATTTCTGCCAAGATTCTGAAGTGCGCATTCGATGGACACTTTACTATCCAATGAGGCCACGGGAGAGGATTTATGAATGAAAGCGACGCAACTGACGCTGGTAGTTCGTGTGACAGTAACAACATGGCGGATGTAGTATGTCCGAATTTCATTCATATTACCCATATTCATACTATATAGAAATGTCATGGCTGTCAAGTATTGGTTGTTTTTGTTACTCATTGGTTCATTGATTAACAAACACCTGCTCCTTGTTTTCATCATTAGTTTGCCCTATGTAGCCCTCACTTTGTTCAGTTCTTTAACTTGTGTTGTTTATGCTGCCACTTGTATTTCTCCCATGATCTTCTTTGTGGTTATTCTTGTGAATTATCTTCTTTGTTTTGTTTATAATAATAGTGCCTCTTCTCCTTGTTTTGCCTGACTCGCAGTGACTCTTAACTTCAGAGATTTCTGTCCCTTAATTGAAAGTGATTTCCAATAGAAAAAAAGTTCACGAAAACAGTGGAAGTAATCCATTTGAATCAAAACTTCTGAAGAGACACAACCACTGTAAATGATGAACATTTAATTTAAGCTTTTATTCACATAGAAACATTGATCATCCGCACAAATAGAGCACATCAATTATGGTAAATGGAAGCTTAAACATGCTTGCTTGACCCGTGAGAACCAATGATGTTTGTTCTTGTGCATTAAGCAAATACAGTTGAGCTGCCACTGAAAAAGATTTGTTTATGCATTTCCATTACAGCTGACGTTTACACGTCTGCCTCTGTGTGGTAAACTGCTGACCTCAATGCTATTTGAATAACATCCAAAATTTTCGACGTAGACAGTCTGTCAGCTCTGAGGAGGCAAACCGTCCCAGTATTGTTACACACCATTTCTAAACAACAGCAAATTAAATCATGTTTTTTGACTGATGAGCCTCATATCAGAGATCTTTAACCACCATGTTTATGAGTCAAACAACATGTTGGAGCAATTGAGACTACAGCGGTCATCATTATCCCCCTCCCCCAGCACCAATACCACCCAACACACATACACTGAGGTATGAAAGACTGACTGAACACATGCTAAATGAGCCGTGGCTCACACATCATCTCTGGATCCTTCAAACGGTATCAGGTAAGCGGCATGTGTCAAAAGCGGCACATGTGCAAAGATACTCAGGTTCATAAACTATTTCACTGCAAATCCCACTGACCCAGATTCGTTCATAAATTAGCATGCTGCTCAGCCTTGCGTGAAGTCTGCAGTGACATCCAGACATGAGCGAAATGATGAAAGTACTTATTTGATGCTATGCGTTAAATGAGCCGTGTAACAAGTGTTGACAACATATGTTGTGAAATACTGAGAATGCTGTAAAATCTAAAAATGGATGTTTTTCGATATCCCTCAGGTTACTTTCATTTATTTATCGTGGACTTATCTATCTCCAGCTTCCAGTCAATAATGTCAACTTACACTTATAAATGGAAATACCAAGTAAATATCCTTGTTCCTTCTGAAATGTCACATAACATAATAAATGCGTTGTGAAATGTGTATATATATATATATATATATATATATATATATATATATATATATATATATATATATATATTTTATGTTTTAAGACTTTCACTGAATATTATAGGGCAGGGATTTAAGTCTTTCGGGTCCCTTACAGAAAACATGTTGTGACAAACAGTATTATGGTACAAATGTTAATACCATGGTACTTTTATTGTACCCCAGTGTTTTACTTTTATTGTACCACAGCACTAATTGTTATTCATATACATTACTGTTCAAAATTTACATTCTTTCCCTGAAAGAATGTGAAAATGAATTAAACTTTTCAACATTGATAATAATAATAAATGCTTCTTGAGCACCAAATCAGCATATTTTTTCTGAAGGATCGTGAAACCGAAGACTGGAGTAATGATACTGAAAATTCAGCTTTGCAATCACAGGAATAAAATACATTTTGAAATATAAAAAAAAAAAGTTATTTTGAATTATAATACTATTTCACAATATTACTCTCTTTATTATTTTTTTATTTTTTACTGTATTTTTTTTATAATAAATGCAGCCTTAGTGAGAATAAAAGACTTCTTTAGTGTACATCAGTTTTTGAAGAATATCTTGCTATTAATACAATGGCCGACCAAGGGATGCTTTCTGGATAAGCTATGTCTGGTAGGGACACTAACACACCAACATCCTGTGATGGTGACCACACCATCCCTAATTTTGTCAAATCAGACAAAAATCATGTTTAGCCTAATGCTTTAAGGAAGCCTATGGGCCAAGCAATTTCACAATAATAAACATTAAAATATACATTGTTACGGTAATATATCAAACAAAATGGAGATACAAAAACATGATACACAAGGATACAAGAAATGTACTGTTTATCGCAGTGTATGCTTGCATATTTTGTATACGCACCTTGATATCACATAATTATAAGGTCATCCACCTACAGCAGGAGTCCTGCCACTAAGAGATGGTTTGGACAACTTTACATCTCAAATAAGACCCATTTTGTTGGATGGCAGAAAGAATAGAAATACTTTAAAAAGTTTGAGCAACACAGCACCTCTAGATGTCGCGCTCCATAGACCTCCATTGTAAGTCCATTATTGTGCACAAAAATGTAATTTGTAAAATGTAATATTCCTTCTTTTTGTGCTGTTTATCCACAGGTTGCCCCTACAAGCAGATGACTCCCACCCCAAGCAGCAACGCCTCAGACAAGTCCAGCTCCAAAGCCTCTGAGGTGGGTGACGAGGTGGCCGGGGACTTTGTGGTCGGTGAACGTGTCTGGGTGAATGGAGTCAAGCTAGGAGTCATCGCCTATCTTGGAGAGACCCAGTTTTCCCCGGGACAGTGGGCTGGAGTGGTGCTGAATGACCTGGTTGGAAAAAATGACGGCTCTGTCAATGGAGTGCGTTACTTTGAGTGCCAGGCTTTGCAGGGCATCTTCACCAGGCCTTCCAAACTCATGCGGCAACCCGCCGGGGATGGGGGTGACGAGCAGCAGAACACACAACTGCAGGGTGGTGCGGGAGCATCCGGTCAGCGTGTGGTCATGCCGCTCAGAGAAGGCATGCTCAACAGCTCAGTCAAAACCGGCAATGAGTCAGGATCCAACATGTCTGACAGTGGATCTGTGAAGAAAGGGGGAGAGAAGGACCTTAAGGTCGGAGATCGAGTGCTGGTGAGTGTTGAATTTTTTCAGTGAGTATAATTAAAGTCTATATAAACCAAGACGGATCACTCATTTCTATGAATAGGAGAAAGTGCAACGCGCAGTGTGGTGGAATGAAGGTTCGGCCATATTTACCATTACTTGGTTAAATTTTGCTGGCGAAATTCAGTCATTTCAATTGGAATCCGTGCGCTCTGGAGTTTTGCGCGAGGGTAAAAAAGTTCCACAAGCAGATTGTTGCTTGTGTTCAAGTCGGTCAGGTGAATTCACTGTGATGACCAGAAAGCTGCTTGGTTTGAAAGTGACTTATGTGTTGGGTGAGCTGTGCTTCAAACATCGCTACACTATTGACAATGCCTGCACAAGTGTGATCGCACAGAACCAATCACCAATCGGTAAAGTCATCACATCACTGCAGATGCCATCAGAAGCTGAGGCCCACGCCAAAATCCATTTTAGGTAAAGCCAGTTGGCAGCCACATTTGCAACGCCTCCGGGCTGCTATTTCTTGCATCCAAGTCCCATCTACTCGAATGGGGAAATTCTGAAAGCTGAAAAAGTGCTTGCCACACTTTCATTTAAATAACATATTTCAAATCAGCACAATTACATGAACTGTCCCATAAATGTAGTTTCTTAAGGCCCTTTCACGCTGAGCATGATTAAACAGTGCAAATGTACATCGCGATGACGCTCTTGAATCGAAACAATAGATCCCTATGGAGCTATTCACACCTTGCGCGATCAATTGCAGCGCGACAAAGCAAGCTTTTTTTCGACCAGTGTGTCTATTTTTCCCCCGTCACCCCGCAATGAAACGAGCCGTCTAATTAGATTTAGTTACACAAAAGTGTGGGAGTGGTGGTGCTGTTTTGAAAACCTGTGTAAACAGAAGAAAAGTGTTCTGGACGAGAGAAGAGAATGGATGTTGAGTGTTATCACTGTTGTCTGAGAACAGATTTATTCTTACATGTTCTTTATACAGATTATCATTTCGATTCATTTTCCACTGCATTATGCAATCTGAAAGAGCTTGAAACAGCGTACAGAGGCTGAGCGCTGTTTTCTTCCTTGCGTTATGAGTTAGTTAGAGAGCTAATTCGCTCTAGAGCTGTCAGTTCAGCGCGGTTCAGCACATAAACAACTGAGAGAAATTTTTTTCGCAGATGAAATATGAAGCCAATTAAATATATGATGATATATGTGCTGTATGTGTTTTTCATGCGGCTCTGGGTATTTTTATAACAATAAAGAATGAGAAATGCTAATCAGGTGTAGCGTTCAGTTTATTATAAAATACTACAAATAATGCACGTCTGCCCATTATTTAATCAAAATCCACTTTAGATTGGTACTACACAGAAACAGTCATCGAGTGCAAACTTTATTTATCTTAATTTACTGTTGAATGTTGTGCAGAGGTTAAAGCCAAATAGTAAATCCAACGAGATACATGCATAAGGAAAAATGTTTTCTCGGCCAGCGCCACCTATCGTGCTGGCGTGAATTAGCTGAAGGCAATCAACCGTTTCGTGTTCAGTGTAAAAGCTCCATTCGGAAAGGGCCTTTAGGCTCAGAAAACTTTAAAAAAAGATTATATTTCTGATTGGTCCAGCCAATGCTCATGTGCAGTCCTAAGCACACACCGGAGCATCTAATGTCAGCTGTAGTGACACAATGACTTTACCAATTGATGATTGACTCTTTTATTTAGAAGGCGGGGCTTATTCTGCCATATTTTTCATTGTACTTTGAACCATCTTGGTATATCTATAGTTTTTGCTTGGAACTGCTCATGCGCATTGGCTGGACCAACCTGAAATATTTGAGCACAAGAAACAACATTTATGGGACTGTTATTGTCAGATTTTGTTTCCGATTTAAAGTATGTTACTTAAATATGAGTTTGTCAGCGTACCCGAAATAGCTGCCCGAAGGCGTGGCAAATATGGCCACTAAGTAAAACTGACTTCCCATGAAAGGGAAGAGTAGAGAGTCTAAGTGCTCTGTCTAAATGTCTGCTGTTCATCTTTCATAACATTTTCTTAATATAATAGTTCAGATCCAAAGATTTGATTGGCTGAGTGCTGATATTTAGTATGTTGTTTGTATCACTCATCTTAGCAGTGTTCCAGAGTATGTGAGTGAAGCAGAGTGGTGTCATTTTGCCTTCTGCGAGGAAAGCAAAAATTAAAATGCCAACTGACTTTCTTGATATTAACTTGTTTAAACTGTTCTATATTTGCAACCACAGCCATGTTCAGGAAAACAGCAGTCTGTCTAAATGTCTCTTGATTAAAAAGGACCTATAATGCCCTTTTTTGATGTCTTTATTTTGTTTTTGGGGTCAACTAAAATAGGTGTTCATGCTTGAATGTTCAAAAAACACATTATTTTTCACATAATTTACATTTTAACAGTGTCAGTAACACTCTTGTGTAATTTTTGTCTCTATGAAGCCCCTCATTCTGAAAAGTGCAATGTGCTCTCTCTGACTGGTCAGCTGGACCAGTGTGTTGTGATTGGTCAACCGCTTCTAGCTTGTTTCGGAAATGTTATTCTGCTTAGTGCTTACCATAACCGCGAGTTTCAATACACTACTAACACAACTCAACCATGCCTTGTCCCTTTTTTTTTGCGTATACATGCCTTGGGGTGGGAATTATTTAAATGAGAAATATTGTGACGTGTACGTTCCCAGAAGACAACTCAAGACTACAATCGAGACGTTTCAGGGAGTTTTTCAAGCAGTGCATACTAGGGCTCGGCGATATGACCAAAATCTCATATCACGATATAAGTCATCTCATATCCCGATAACGATATATATCACGATATAGTACTTAGTAATTCAATCAATTGATAGTTTATATATATTGACCACATGGAAAGGACAATTTCTTTTATAGATTTTAAAGTATCAAAAATTTTATTATTTTTCTCCCTTTATTTAGAACTTCTGGGAAAATGTTTGATTAAGAATGTAGAAATATAAAATATGAATGAAATATAAAACACTTTTCAAAAACAAATAATTACAGGCGCAAAATAAAATATTGCCATATAAAACGCCAAATGTAAACATTGTATTTGAGGATTGTAAACAATCATTTGGATTGACTGTGCTATGTGGATTTACAGACTTTTTTGTTTAATTTGGCTTTTTTGTTTAATAATTATTATTATTATTAGGTGAATTCTAATTAAATAGGGAAAGGAAAAGAAGCACAGAATCTAAGACACTGGCATTAATTTAGTACATACACCAAAAACAAATTCTGTGAATACTAAATTAAAGGAATATTTATAAATTGCATTGTTTTGCACAGCAGTACAATGACAATAAAGTCTTTAACTATGAATGCTGTGCACAAAAGTAGTAAAAAACATGACCAAAAGAATACCAATGTGTAAAGTACAATAAGAAACTGGGATAGGCTGCAGCAATGCATGAAAATAAAAGTACAATAATAATTGAAAAGTAATACATTTTTTACAATAAATTCAAATTCAATTTTTAAAATGAGTCAAATCCAACTCTGTAAACTCAGCATCTGTTTTCAGAAGTGCCCTGCCTTCCACTGGTCCACTGACTCTTTCCAATCCAGTGAGTTTTAATGTGTAAAAGTTCAAATTGTGTGCTGAATCTGCTGATGCATAATGTACTGCCATAGGATTAATCTTGTTTCCTGTGTGGGTTGCATTTTTGTTGTCTATCTTGCAAATCTTTGTTCGATCCAGCCTCATGAAACTACTGACATGGATGTTGAAGCCTGTAAATAACTTGCATGCTCTTACAGTTTATGGAGAATCTGATGAAATACCTTTTGTTGGGGAAAACCTTTAAAAAAAAAAATATTTATTTGAATTGATATTACAGTTATATATTCAGTGATTCAGAATTGTAAAGGGTACAATGAGACTGAATACTGGACTGCTGTGGCTGTTGAAAATAAAATGCTCCATCCTGGTGATGTGTTTTCTGTACAAACTTTTGCGAACAGAGCTACAGTCCAATTATTTAACCATTTTTATTTGCTTGCGGGTGCATTTTAGTATGCTATTATCAATTTCAGATTTGTCTGCCCCTAAATGTCGTGTATAAAGCAAACTATTGTTCATCTCTGGCTGTGAACGACTAATATGTGGCTTCTCTTGTGTTAGATTTCTCATGTTAGGTAACAGATGCTGCCCAATAGCTATCTGCTTGAGTATACAGTTGATTGGCTAGGGGTCAAATTGCTTTCCATTTAGTATAGCATAGTCCTAAAGCTTTTCAAGCAGTCAATATTCTTAATCAGATGGGATTACTGCTCCATAAACCATCAGCCATTGATCTTAGCTATCTATTTGTCTGCCTGCTTCAATCCCGACTGACACCTGATTGGTTTGTTCAGTGATGAACACATCAGGGAGGATCCCAACTTAGACACAGAGTCACAGACACACATCAGTTTCATACTTTTATTTCCCAGAGGCTGATTTTTATTAAAACTAACAGATTTAAATTTGATTTCAATGTTTATTGTGTGATTAGAAACAGGTTGATGGTATGATGCACCTCCGATGCACCTCCGCCAGTGCCAAATTGCTAGCAACAGGGTCATAGCTGGGAGCCACCCTTTACCGATGTTTCAACCCTTTAGTTCCAGAACATCTCAGGATGTTGGGGCAGTGGGCAGGGATTTCTCCCTGCAGCTGGACTTAGATCTCAGGTCCTTATGCCTTGAGGCTTCTCAGTCAGCATGTGTCCCTCAGGAAGCGACTGGTTGACTGGGAAACAAAGCCACGGCAGCCTACCTTCACTGGGTAATTTGTTGCTCTCCATCCCTTTCCCTGGCATTCCACTACCAGGTCGGCGTACCGTGACTTTTTCCGCTCGTATGCCTCCTCTACTGGTTCCTCCTAGGGCAGTGTCAGTTCCACTAGCACCACCCACTTTCTCGTCTCTAACCACAATACAAGGTCCGGTCTCAATGAGGTTTGCGTGATGGAAGCGGGGAACTGCA